CTTTATTGAAAGAATTTTTAAGAATAGAAAACCTCAGAGGATTCGCAGAGTTTTGCTTATCTTTACTTCACTTCTGTTTTTGTCAACCAAAGGACGGTATAAAAGTTAGACAACGGCACATTTTTTTTTTTTACAAGTGGCTTCTGTTTTCGTATAATTTATTTACCTCTAAAATCGTTCAAATGTCACGTCCGACATCATGGAAACACCCATATGTATGCATTTACACAAAAATATTTATCTGCGTGAAAAAGCTTCGTGCAATTTTCGATTACGTTTTCGATTTTGTTTTGGCATTTTTCTGTGATTTCCCTCTCCTTCTTACTTGTACGGCATCTGTGCATGACCGTAGGACATTCTGCTGTTGTTGTTATTGTCCATAAATCAACGTTCTTTCGTAGGCAAGTCAGTTTCAGGAATGCAGTGTATGAAGGAAATACATATTTACAATACATTGTAGCTGACAATTTAATTTTATTCGGAAGCATTAAAAATTGTTGCTAGCAAGTTCAAAAATTAATCACTGCTCGCCCTGCGTTGCTAAACTAAATCGGTTAACTATTTAATTAATTGGCAATGCTACCAAAATTTATTTCACTTTAAAGGTTTTCCAAGAACTTTTGGTGGGCAAACTCTAACATTTTACATATTTACATACCACTCTTGAAAAAATCCAAGTACTTAGGAATTATTCTCGACATCCAGTTACTCTCCAATGACAACAAAACCGAAATCCGCAACAACACTTCCAAAAGGTCAATCAAAATTAAACTTAGAAACCTGTAAAAGGTTCAGAGAAGCGCTCAGTTGTGTTCAGCAGTACTTTTTCCTTCGCCCCCGGGACTTCAAGAAGCCTGAATGGATCGATGTATATATAGCAGAATCAGCTACTCTAACTTAACCCAATTTGGCTTAACATTTCTTGGTAGTGGAAAACTCAGTTGAAATATATTAGAAAAAAAAACTGTTCTAAAATGCTACATTTTTAATATCCACACTGTATTTCGCTATTTTTCATTACTCAATAAATTGTATATTTTCGATAAGTGGGAACTCTACTAAAAGAACTATAAATAAATTACCCCTAAAATTAGCTTTTCTGAAAACCATTTAATTTTTTTACATTCTTCCTTGAAAAATTATATAAATCTAAATTCTTTAAGTTGTGGCAGCGCTTTCCAAAAAATATTGCATAAACCTATCTTTCTCTACAAATTTAATAACAAATTCCGCGAAGCCAAAAGTCGGTACAGCTATCCCATTTTAATGGAAAAAAACTCGAGAGTGCCGAAACTTTCACTGCATATCAAAATTGTCTTTAAAAAATACTTTCGACTTTGAAAATTTCCGGTTTTCATCAAATTAAAATAAAATATTTTGCAATTCAGTCAGCAAAATCACTGGCAGCTGGCGGTAGCATTATGTCAAGGCATCATCTATGTAGGTATATAGGTGCATATGTACATGTATGTAGACCTACTTTCTTTTGTTGGTGACTGACACTTTCCCCCAAACAATATTTTCTGCATATATAATATTCTTTTGCAAATGTTTAGTTTTCCCCCATTCATGCACTTGGCATATTAAATGAATAGCTTCTCCAAATTAGCACTCATTTGCGCCTTGCTGATAAATGTCTTCCACAACCCCATCAAGATGCTACTGCGATTCACGCTACACTTTTTCGCAGCACATAACCTTTTGGCGGCGACATTTTCATGCCTACAGCCATTTACACTATTTCTGCTTTTTATTATTTTCGTATATGTATACCTATTTTTTTATTTTAAGTTTGGCAAACCTTGATATCTTATACAAATATCCATGGCATTAATGCCATGTGTAGTAGGCATAGACATGTACATATATGTATGTATTTATGCACTCACTCACACGCACACTTTTCACTTACTCACTTTTCTGCATGTCACTCACGTTTCGCTCTGTCGTCAGCCACATTAAATGGACTTCCTGTTGTTATTACTTTTTCCCTGTCTCTAAATACACTTCATGCGCACTTTTCCTACCTTCGTGGGGAATACTTTTTCATTTCGTTGTTTTTTGTTGTCAACTTGCTCGTAAGTTGTAGTTTTCAACTAGCTTTGTAAATTTTTCTTTTCATTTATTTCCTGATTTTGTTATTGCAGCTTTCATGACTATTGTACCTCTATATAGTTTGTTGATTCAATTGTTATTTGGTTTTTGTTGTTATAGTTGTCAGTTGAAGCAGCTGAAGTTGCTTGGAGCGATGTGATTTCCTTTCAGTTTCCTTCGCTTTTATTCATTCGCTCGTTGCGCACCCGCTACTTCAGCCAAACAAATGCGAAAATTATTCAGAATAAGAAAACTTCGGTTCAAACAGACACATATATATATGTAAATGCATTAGGTTGGTCCGAACGTTTTTTTCCAACCACCCCCAGAACTGAAGAATAACGAAAATAAGTAGACACGTATTTTTTGTTTCGAAATCGTGCCACCGGGGCTTTGAAGTTTTTCATAAATCTTACATGCGCAAAATACATTTTCTCATAGAATTTGCTATGAAACCGTTAAAAGCTAATATTTTTTGTTTGAATAATAATATTTAAAAAATATAGTAAAACGCAACTAAATCCCTTTTAACGTCTTTTTTGTTCACTGAAATGTTGAATGAAATGATTTGCCGACTTTTACGCATAGAATAAAATAAAAATAAAAATGCATTTAATTAAATCGATTAAATTTGTCATTGACAGGCTATTCGGCCACTGAACACCGTTCCTCAAAACGGTCGATCAAACTCCTAATCATAAAGGCTGCGTGAGCTGATCTTGAGTTGGCTATAATTTCTTCGCATCATAACAATTGATCATTGATAATTTTAATATGCTGTTGTATACTGTAAACATCCACTATAAATCCTGTAAAAAGAAAAATATAATTATATTAAAAATTTAGAAAAGTTATTTGTGTTTAACATTGGTAAGCCTCATTTGGCCCACCCTGTACATATATATTATATTGACATTCGCATTCATATTCGTAGCACAACACTAAATTCCCTTATTTCAGTAAGTTTTAAAGTCTCCAGCTTTACAACTATTTTTGATTGCTTGTACTTCAAACAAATTTTTTGTTTTCTTTGTTTTTTTTGTGTTTGCTTAAGAATTGTTTCTATGTTTTTCAACCACTCTGCTTCATTAAATCAGTAGTTGAAACTTCTCCACTAATTATCTACTTTTACTTTCAATTTTTGTCTGTCGATTTGTGCAATTTTATGTGACTTTTAACAGCACAGTGAGTTCTGCACTCACAGCAAACCAAATCCGTATTGCTACATTCTTTGTCGTCATTCTTTGTTTAACTTTCTTAGCTTGATTACACCACAAAAAACTGATGCGTTGAGAAAATCCTAAACCAGTAGAAAGTGTGGGGTAAAGTTTCAAAATAGGAAACGATTTCAGGCCAAGCAGTACAACAGTTTTCTTAAAAATATATAAAATAATAGATTTATCTTGAACTATTATAATTGGATTTAAATGCACTTACCTTTAAACATCGGATTTGAACTTCTTCAAAAAAGGGCCAAAAACACCCGTATTATGAGAAGTCAAAGTGTACACATTTTTTTTTTTTAGAAAATTTTCTCGCCTAAAACTTTATGAAATATGTATATGGTAAGCGGACTTGAACCACAATCAACTACTTTTTGACGGTGTAAAAATTCATAGTATATGTATGCTTCATAAAATACTCTTATTTTGGCGAATTTACAGAATATTAATTTGAAGGCAACATTTCCATGTGGGTTATTCCTACCAAAATTAGAGAATTTTTTTTCTCTTGGTAGGCAGGAATTATTTCGTTGTAATTCTTCTTCTTAATTGGCACTAAAACCCTTTGTTGATGTGGGCGAATACTAAAACAACGTCGCAATTACCTCCCTTCTTCGTTTAGTTGCGCCACTTCTTTATCCCCAGTGCAGACAGGTAATCTGTATTTAGTCCTTCTACTGTGCTCGTGGCCACACCCTTGATTTCGTTGTCCATCCGTGGGTGACGAGCCGAAGGATATTTTCACTTGGGCATCGTCGTTCATGCCACCACCACCAGAGAGCAAAACACCATTTCTTCTTAGGCGCGATGCACATTAGAGCGATACGATATGGAAGTGACATCGACATGCGCGCAGTGCACATTAGAGCAATACAGGGTTGCGTGATTTCAAATCCTTTTTAATTTAAAATCCGCCTTTAATAACAAAAATAATTCTTTTCTTTTTTTTGTTTGACGAATCAAATCACAAATAAAATTTATTTCTTATTTGGTTGACAAATCAAATCACAAATAAAATTTATTTAGGATTTGATGCAAATTTCAATTCAGAAATAAATTTGATTTATGGATTTGTGATTTGACTAAATCAAAATCACGCAACCCTGGAGCAATACCACATGCGATACCACGTGATGCGGTGTGATAGCAATCCGTGTCGCTCGGCCGATATGCAAGCGATATATGTCGACGCAGTGTCGCTGACGTTCCAGTGAACACAGTTTTCATCGCTTCTTACCAATTCTGACTTACTTAGCATGTTTATGTCGATTTCATATCGTATTGCCTATCGTATCGTGTATCGTATCGCTCTAATTTGCACCGCGCCTTAGCATCGCTCAAGGCATATAAAACAGGTAGTAGCATTAGAGCAAAAACAATATTTGCGTGTATTTTGTTGTTGCTTCTGGTTTCTTAAGTGTCAAAAGCTGTTCTGATTTTTTCTTGCAAATCAAAAAATAAAAAAATAAAATTTTTTGCAACTTTCCTTCTTAGTAAATTAAATTTTTATGGGGGGAATTTGAAATTTCAGAGACCAAATTATTTGAAAAAAAAAAATCAATATGCCTTGACATTGCCCATTTGTGTTAAATTTAATAATATTTGCAAAAAGATTAAAAATAAAACTCTCAATGCAATTTACTTACATTTTAAATTTTTGCGCTCTTTTCCCTTTTCTTGCAGTGTGGACGAAGGATTCAATGGCGCCTACACGCCCAACATTGTGGTAAAGAATAATGGCTCATGTTTTTTATGTGTTGCCCGAAATTTTCAAATCCACCTGGAAATTTTTGATCACATGGTTTCCATGCCCTAATCAACGCTGTGGGATGAAGTTCGGCACATGAACATATGATGGCTTTCAGGTAGGCAAAATAGTTATTCGTTTTCAGTACAAAGTTTTCGCATGGACAATAAATTGTTTTCGAAAAAAAATTATGTCTATGTATGCACGTTGTTTATTACGCCCTGAGTTGTGTTATCAAGGTAAAAAAATTATAGGAAAGTTGAAACAAGTTCCAACAAAATATGTATAAACACACAATATGAACAAAAAAAGAAACGGATAAACTAAAGGCAGCACATCCATTTACAAACTCACGGTTTCAAAAATGAGCACATTTCTCCTTGCGTATGTGCATTCAACTACATAGTAGGATATATCAAATCCAGCTCTAGCCACGCACCCTACTCTAATGACGACCAGCAATTTTTTTTTAAATTTCATTCACACATGCATCTATTCAAATTTTTTACTCAATTTGCGCACTGGCATACCTTTTAAGCATTGCGTTGAGTGGCTGATAAATCAAAATGTCAACTGCGACTTGTTGTTGAAAGCATCGTTTCGCATGCCGCTAAACAGAAAACTTTTTCACTTGATAATAAGTAAACTGAATCAACGAAGCCAGTGCCCTTCCCTTTACCTTAAGTTGCCAGTTATCACTTTTCTTTTCATCCTTTTTTGTTCTACCACCACTTCATTAGGCCCACAGTTAAGCATTTAAAAAGCCTCTTAGCCAATACACTCTCGAATACAATTTAATTGCTCTCGAATTAATTCCGTCGCTTTTAATTTGAAAAAGTGCTTAAGGTCACAAAAAACAATAGTCATTACAAAAGCAAATAATCGCCAAATGCTAGCTGGAAAAAGAGCAAAAATCATAGCGCAAATTAAAACAAAGGGCTGAAGTGATAGCCAATAACAAACCAACAAACGCAATCGAAATGAAAACAATTGCATCGATGTAATTTGCGTAATAATATTTAATGGCTTTTTGATATGCCCAATGCAACAATAAATATATATTTTTCTTCCCGCGTGGTATGCAATTTGTTGTAATCGCTTAGCGTGTAATTGCCGCTTTTACAGTTCTGCTAATTTCAGCAGCTAGTGCATATTTTGGTATTTTAGGATTTTTGCATAAATGCGAATATGTCTCTACATTACGTATTTAAAATGATGTTGTGGGTTTGTTCATTTAGCTGTGGTGAATTCATACTATTATGCTTTGCACTTCTGCTCGCACAGGCTTGAAAATAATTCCGTGCTAATTGGTTAAAATTAAAATGACAGCAGAGTTTCTAAAATTTCATTGAATTAGAGCAATTAAATTATTAACTGCATCGAATTAATTTTCTACATATATACTTTTACGCATAATAGATACAAAATTTCATTAGAGTGATAGGCAATGCAATTTCTTATTCAAGTAGCAAATATTAACATTGATATGAGCATTAGGAAGGTCCTTAACAATCAAATGAACGATTTTTTTCAGTGTCACCCCCTCAATCGGTAATTCCACGGACAAAGATATAACATATAAGTTTTGGTCCCCATTGGAAACGGTTAAGGCGTGTCGCATAGGGTGCAAAGTTCAGATTCACCTATGGAGCCTTAAAAATTAAAATTAATTATTTTTTTCATCTAATACCCCAAATCGATACTACTATATTCGAAGATATCACTTATAAATTTTGGTCCCGATTGGGGTCGATTAAGGCACTTGGCAGAGGAATCAAAGTTCAGCAGATGGATTCCAGAATTCCATCGCTAATTTTGATCGCCAAAAATCCGCAAAAGAATAGCAGGCGCCCCTAATAACACGCAACATCTAGTTACATTCCCTCCATCACTGACAGATTTGGCTGATTATACATTGCATGTGTTACTCTTCCATGTTGTATACTTTTAGGAGCCACTGTTTTTCATTTACAGATTTTTATAATATTTTTCCGCCTAAGTATTTAAATTTAACAATTTTGCTTGTTTTAAATAGCAAAAAATTGAATCTTAATTTCATGTTCATTTATTTTACACCATAGCTAAACACTTAATTCCAAATGGTTCCGATAAAGTTTGCTTTGTATTGTTAGAACAATTTTCTCTATAGTATTTGACAACTTGCAGTATGTGTTGTTTGTCCCCTCTCTTTTAAAAGAAATTTTATTGTACTACTCTCCTCTTTCTGCCGTGTACTTTTCCACTTTTAAATGCTTTATCCTATTAACAGCTGGATAATCTGAATTTTGACCCCTTTGCGACACTCCTTAACCAACTCCAATCGAAATCAAAATTTAGATGTGATATCTTTGACTGTAGTAGTATCGAGTTTGGGTATAAGTTGAAAAACAAAATTAATTTTAATTTTTTGAGTCTACACAGAGTATTCTGAACTTTTCGACCTGTGCGACATGCCTTAACGGTTTCCAATCAGCACCAAAACTTATATATAATATCCTTAACCGTGTTATTAGCCGATTGAGGGGGTGAGACTGGAAAAATCGTTCCTTTAATTTTTCTTAAGGACCACCTTAATGTGCACACATAGAAGACCCCTTTATCATATTACAGGACCTTGGTTGAAATTCCACTGGACCCAGTAATACAGTACATAAATATACATATTTTTGAATGAAGCTCGTCCATTTGGGTTCCGCAAAACCTTGTTCTTGTATCGTTAAGTATCTTGCATGCAGTTTGAGCTCAGTGCTTTATCGAATAATCATCCGACATACCACTTTAATGAGGACAACCAAGTCGTCGACGAACTGTCGAGAGAAAGAGCTTGAACCGTAGAAGAAGAAGATAGATTTTGTACGAGCTGTCACTTCTGTTGTGATTTTCAGTAACTCTTCAGGTAAATTGGGGCAATTTAACCCACGCCAGACCTCCATTTGCAGAACGGGACAAGCTTGGACTCATATAAATGCTAACAGTGGTTTCCAAAATAATAACCTAACTGATTAATCGCGAAATACTGGAATGCTGGGTCAGATGTATTGCGAGGAGACAAGTTATCTTCTTTCGTCAACATATTACACAGTTTCATTAAAGAATCTCGAGAGTTTGTCGAGGAGTAATGATTTCATTCTGCAATGGGCAACTACGCCAGAGGGCTTGGAAAATTGATCTTGGTTACCCAGCCTAGCGTAAGGCATTTCCAATCAAAACTGACACTAGACTGCAATACCAAAATAAAACCGAAATAAATTTGCAGCAGCAAATGCATAAAATTTCAATTTTAATCTTTTAAGAATTTTTGTACAAATCTTGAAACTCTGCCAAACACATTTAATGCGCTCAAATCGACATGAAGGCGTTGCAGTGTAAGCAGTTTACTGGTGGTGTGTGGCAACAAAGTGTTCGCCTAAGGAAGTGACATTCACTGGCAGAAATCCATGCGTGGATTTATTTACCCTCTAAGTACTTAGTATGTGCTGCGCCTGGGTAAACACCGCTTCAGTGACTCGAAATTTGCTTTTCCACTAAATGTTGTCACATAAGATGCAGCGACACTCGTTTTTGTGGCTGGCTGAAGATTGAGAAATTTCGACAGTTGGTGGCAATACGTAAGCGCGGCTTATGGCAAACGAATTTGCAATGCAAATTGTTGGCTCGATTATTTGAAATATCAAGCAGCGGTAGTTTTACGACATCGATATCAAGCAGGCACACACACACACACATGCAGTCGTCCATACAAACTAACTTGCTAAGCATTTGCAATTTCCTTCTTCGGCACTTAACAAAATGCGTAAACTTGGCATAAATATTTGATTCTGACTGTTTGCTGCAGCCACAAAACAAATTCGGTGTGTGCCAAAGCTACTGAAGTTGAAAGTGCGATATAATGCGGTTGCTACGAGCTCCAGCTAGTGTGTGTGCTTGTTGCGGTAGGTACAGCTTCTTGCCACTATTCTCATTTATTTTTTTTGGCATTGACATTTTTTCTAGTCAAAATTATTCTATTGTAACATTTCACGTGCTAACTTTTTGCGGCTAAAAACGGATACAAAACTGTGGGCGGCTCGTCCTTGGCTTTGGCTTTGGCTGCTGTGCTGCGTGATTTTGCTGCTGTTGTTGCACGGATCGCCGTCGGCGTGAACAATAAACTTTTGCACAAATTGCATTTGTTGCCTACGCAAGTGTGATATTTTGGCTCGCCTCCTGCTGGGAAAGGAACAAAACGATTTGGCTATCGGCGGTGATTTGAGCGCCGCACGTAACTGGAAAATATTTGCACTTTTTTAAGATTTGCTTTTGAGTGCACAACAAGCAAATGGAAATTTTTAAATATTTGCATGAATTATCACGGGGAAGCTTCTCATCCGACCTTGGGCATTTAACTAGGGAAATTAGAAATGTGGTTTGGCACACCCTGAGTTGGAAGGTCCCCTAGAAATGGTTTTTGGTAAATGGCCAAGTGCAATAAAGACATTGTCACAGAGTAGATAATTGATTAGTTGTTTGCAACTGTGAAAGAATCACTAATTACATAAAAATAATGGTGACTTGCTACATATTTGAAAGTAATAAATTTGCCCAAATAACACAGGCAAACAAAAATGGAAAAAAAATTGATGGTTAGTGGTTGGACTTGCTGGTGCTGATTAAGAATCCGTAACCTTTTATTGAGCACAATTGAACTCCATGGCATGTTTTTAGCTTAATATGTATTCACGTACTTTTGCATACACACGCTCACATTTTGGCTTTTGGCACTCTGCTCTTTGTGCCGCGGCATAAACTAAATTCAGCATGTACGCAAGTTTTTATGTAGATACTCATTTATATCGGAAATCCGGCACAACAATTTACTTGTACTCTTGGGAAGGATCATATACAAGGTTGAGTTTACCGTTATTTACAATTTATGCACAATCGAGGCACTAAAGTAGCAATGTCCTCCAATAGGGTTCGGATCGGATTTCCAATTGGCTTTTTTCCCGCTTGATAGTCACGGATGTGTGTGACGTGCAAAATTGCGTTATTAAATTTAACAAAATCGAAATTACTCCATGGTGTCATTGTGCTCATTGCGCATCGAAAAATTTAAATGTTTTTGGAGAGTTTTTTGGC